CGTTGACTAGTCTGCATCTACCCCGGACTGGTCCCCATAAACCTGAGTGTGGTAATACGATACTGTAAGGTTTTGAAGATATAATGGAGCCTGATCATTCATGAACACACCTGCCTCCATTTCCCAACACTGACTGAAAGGTTACACGCAGAAACAGGTAATGCTATCAAAAGTAATTATTGTATCCAAAACCACGTTTCTGAGAGTGTGAGGTCCAAATGTAATAACTTCAGTTTCTCTGAATTTGTAAACAGGAAGAGGTCATCGAGGCCTTCATGACCTTTATGTAGTGTTTTATAATATTGCTTAGGGGTGGGATGCGTGACATAAACAGTGTTGATTCCACCACACACTTTAATGTGTGAGGAAGACTGCTCACACACATGGACATATTGGAATCTGTCAGAAGTCTAGAATTTAAACTATATCCTGTCATGGTCCAGGTGAGTGGCATGCTTGTTTGCTGTGCTCTAGGTAGTGATGGCCCGCTTGAAGCTGACGCTCCGGAGCGTGTGTCGAAAAAAACAACACACTGGTTCAGAAGCACTGTGTCGAGGCTTGCTTCGTTTGGCAAAAGTCACGTGACCAGTGACGTCCGAAGCTTCATTACGCACGTAACTGCTTCGGTACCTGATTCAAACGGATATAAGGAAGTGAATCCACGGGATTCGTGGAGTGTGTTGATGGTGACAGATAGCGACGAGGTGATCATTCCACTGACAGATATGGAGCCAGCAAGGAAGAGAGGATGTCCTGGCATGTGGAAATATTTTGAGTTGATTTTGCTCAATTCATTTTATCTGCCGAAGTGAAAAACCTGAAATGTCCAAAATCATGTTTTCATAATGTAAATATCATTACAGCATATGACTTCAGGAACACTTCCATGTGAATTAAAGCTGATGAAGACTACAAAAATGTATTTGACACTATACGTACATTACATTGCTACACAGTTTAGAAAAATCATTTTGTTTATTGTTGTTAGGTGATAGTCTGCACGACCCAGGAATACCTGCATATCTACCAGCTTGCAGTGTGGTTCCTGCACTCCACAGCCTCTTCTGTTCCATGCAAGTGGATTTTCTCCAGGGCAGGAGAAACTATTTCTAAGAAAAGAAACAGACTCAGCCAGCGCACAGTAACACTAATCCTCTTTTAAATGTAAATAACAAAAGGGCTACCTTACATAGATCATGTTTTTACTTTGCAAGTTCTTGATTAGGGGTGGGTTTTGATTATCGCTTTTCTGATTACAATCCATACTAAATTGAATAAAGTGATACTGATTCATTAAAATCCCGTGTCGATTTGTAAATTAACGTTATTATGCCTGAAACGCCAGCATCTCAGGTTAAACCTCACAACATGTCGTCAAACACCATGCAGCTAAAACAGTAACTGGGAGCAGGTTTACGGATTCTGCATACAAACGTGAACACAGAGCGCGGACCCGACGCGTCAGAGTCAGATTTTGGTGTGTCGTCGGGTCCGCGCTGTGTTTGCCTCTTTTTTCCCCGCTGGCTTCTGCAGCTGCAGGTTTCATAACTCTCTGTTTACATCTCTAATTAAGTCTCACATGTGTCAGCTTTCTTTTAATAGATACGAAATTATGGATATATACTGTTAAATGATCAGACTTGTAATATTTCTGACTGAGGCAAAACTTTCCAGATTCCAATCAAATTGAATCAGATCCTGTATCGAATCACAATGATTCTACAAATCAGTGACGATGCAGCCGTACTCAGCTTCCTAAGCATTTTCCCTTTCCAGTTCACAATCAATCCCACCCCTAGGTCAAAAATATGTATAGGACAATTGGCCTCATCTAATATTTTGTATGAACATGTCCAGCTGTCCAGTGATTAAATGGCAAGTAGATGGAGGCAGGACTCCACAGCAGGGGCATACTCCATAATGTGCTGTGCATTCTCATATGTATATTATATATATTGCTCACTTATTGTATTTACCAACATAAAGGAGTTATGAGCAAAGAAAGGCCACACCATAGTGCATGTTTAAATAGGGAAAGTTTATTGATCAAAATGTATTACGCAAATACGCATTACATTTTTTTCAGCCCCCCAATCGTGAAACAAAACCAATTACATGTTCAAAGCAATGGAACGGTGGCCCAATATCGGAGAGAACGCCACTCTTGAGTGAGCAGTGATAATTGAGCAGTCTGTTTTATTTTGCAGATTCAAGCTGCTCTTCAAAATATTCGCCACCAGATGTCACCGGAGAGGACTGTGTTGAAAAGCTTCGAGTAATGAACCGTTTTTCAATACAAGCTTCAGTGCTTCGGAAAGCTTCATTTGGCCATCACTAGCTCTAGGGCTCCTCCTCTGGGTGGAGACCTTCATTCCACCTGGGAGCTGCACCTGAGGCTGATTATGTCGGCAATATTTAAGACCAGCGCTCACAACCACTCGTCGCCTGAACGTCTGCTAATCACCATTAGTGCTAATCCGTTCATGTCTGTTGCCGATTGTTAGTATTTGTGCTAATCTTTTGCTCTGTCTTCAGCTAAATCCACAGACCACGCCTGCAAACTGTCACCGCTTACACAGTCTGGTTGCTGGTCACTTTTGCCAACCATTTTGTGTCAGTCATAGCAGTCCCAGCTCACAGTGTGTGCATCTGCCCTAACCTTTGTATATATTCCCCCAGCCCAAGTGTTTTTAATCACAGTTTTCACTCAGTCACTATTTCACTCCACCTGTATATAGCCACTAAACTCCATATTAGTGTGTATTCACGTTTTTTTCACTTGTTGTAATAAATTCTTGCCACGTTCATCCGGTGTCGGTGTTTAATCTGTTTGAGTCCAATCCGCCCTGCACAGCCCGCGCCGTGACAATTTCCTTTAATACAAATGTTGCATTCTAGCATCTGTAATCTAATGCTGTGGTCGGCAGCATCAGTTGCTACGATAAGGACCAGCACAGAGATGACTCCACTTTCAGAAACCATAATAAGATCATTTTTATCTTTCACCAGTGCTGCTTTGGTGCTGTGATGAACTTTAAATACAGACTGAAACTCTTAAAACAAACCACCTTCTACAAATGATCACACGCTGATTTATAATCACTTTTTAAGGAGTTTAGGAAAAAAACTGAAAGCTCAAATTTGATCTATGATCATTCTGTCTCAGCTACACCTGTCGCTCAAACAAACACAAATCTTTACCTGAACATCAGAGGAAAAAAATCCACAGGAGAGAAGCACTGCTAATAGAAATTATAGTGATGTGAAAAACTGTTTGACCCCTACTGATGTCCCACTGTCACCCTGTGTTCACACTTAAAAGTTTCACTTCATCAAACATATTTTAACCCTCTCCAGGCCGGCGTTGCAGATTTGCAACAAGTAAAGGCTCACACCCCGATTACCCACATGCATATTTTATGAGTTGTTTTACTCAGAAGTACCACTGCAGGTATTCTTTTGTGCATCAGCAACAAAAACTTAATTTGAGCCTGAGAGGGTTAATATATTTGATATACTTAATACCACTTTTAAATCGCATCTTAAAACTCATGTATTCAAAATTGCATACCCTTCATTATGATTTTCTTGTACTAATGTAAAGTGACCTTGAGGGTCTTTAATAAAATAAAATGTATTATGATATTATGTGATAGTGAAGCCCGAGATATCCAAACTTGCCTTAACTAACATGAAAATAAACATAATTAAGTGTTTTTCATAACTTTTGATGAGTCATTAAAGCACAGCGGAGGAATTTTGCTTCACTACCTGCAGAATTACTGTACGCGTACTGTAATCGGATTACAGTAACGCCCTACTCTCTGAGACTGGAGTCAACTAGGGCGCTCCAGTACCTCCATTTTGGTCTTTCTGAGTTGTTCAGAGGTGAACTTCCTGCTGTGTTCTGGATGTCTGACTGCTGCTGAGTTCTCTTAGTTAGACGCTGTTAGACTGATGCAGATGTAAGAGGACTCAAACCTTACAAAACGTCCAGCTTTGGTCTCATCAGCGTATTCCTCTACCGAGTTTGATGTTTCACAGAAAATGTGATGCAAACCTTTTTCTTTTTGCTCAGCAGTGGTTTTTATCTTGAAATGCTGCCATGCAGGCCATTTTTGCTCAATCTCTTTCTTATAGTGGGGTCATGAACTCTGACCTCACCTTTGGGAAGTGAGGCCTGCAGTTCTTTGGAGTTAATGAGCTGTTGAGCTTTTGGGGTCACTTTGGCCGGCTCATGGAAGGTTCACCATGTTCCACAGTTTCTCCTTTTGTAGATAATATCTGTGGTTTGTGGTAAATAGTGACCTGATGTGTTGCTTTTCAGGTCTGTTTTCAGATGATTTCTATTTAGTGAATTTCTTGATTCTGGCAATAATGTGGCCACACCTGAGTGTGGATAGTGAAAGTGAACTCAGCTTTCCAAACATGTGTTTTCATACAGGTGGGTTTGGATAATCTTTTGCCCAAAATAAATGAAATCATCATTTAAAAACTGTGTTTTGTATTTAGTCAACTTATCCTTATCTAATATTATAAACTGGTTATCTGAGTGGGGCGAACATGCAATATGGAAAAATAATCAAGAAGAGGAACGAGTTTTTTCACAGCACAATAACCAAACTTTAACGTCTCTGCTTTCATGAGTTTGTCTCAACAAAAAAGTGTTAAAGATTTTTTGTAAGATATTTTTTAGCATACATTTTTGAGGTAGCATTTTAAAATGCTACCATCAGTCAGCTCCCTTTGGCCCCAAACTCAATCAGAGACATTTCAGTGGGAAACCGCTTTTACCCTCAGGCAGCTTTAAATGAATATAGTAGAAATCATTTAACAGCAGGCCTCACAGTAAGAAGGTCCTGAGTTTGATTCCACTCCCATGTCCGCGTGGGTTCTCTCCGGGTTCCTCCATGCAGTTAGTGCCGTTAGATCATTGGTCATTCTAGACTGCTCAAAGGTGTGAGTGTGAGTGCGAATGAACGTCTGTCTGTCTCTATGTGTTAGGTGACCTGTCCGCTCTGTGGTAGCTGGATGGTCTCCAACCCCCCGTAACCCTGACAAGGATAAGAGAATGAACGGGTGGATACTAATACAAAATACACTACTGACTGGAAGCAGAAAATTAGATGATGCAAACCTCTGACCTGTATCTACAGCACTGACCTCTGACTTTCAGCTGCACTTCCTTCTTCAGCAGGATGTTTCCCTCCCTGTAGACGGTGCAGGTGTAGACTTGTGTGTCTCCATCTGTGGGGTGTTTCAGGGTCAGACTGAGGTCTCCAGTTTTCAGCAGGTCTTCATTCATCTCCGTTCGGCCTCTGTAAGCCTGGTCCTGTTCTTCAGGCTGGTCAGAGCTGTTCTCATACACGTGGACCTTTCCGTATTTACCCTTCCACTCCACTTTAGTGTCTTCAGGCAGGTTTCCTGTGGTTTTAAAAGGCAGCTTGACAGGCTCCACCCCTGAATCCACCTCCAGTTTTTGGACTGAGAAGACAGAAAAGCACAAACTTATAACTTAAACATGACAACAGTTTAAGCTGTTTTGGAGAGGTTTCATGTTTGGAAAATGCTATTGTCTGCTGGCGGGAATGAAGGAGACAACGAGTCTCTTGATTGCACTATTAGTTATGTTAAATTATTGTTTCTTTCTTTAATTAATCTGCAGATGAACTCGTAACAACCATTTAACGGTGCATTAACTTACATATCAGAGTAAAGACACAAACAAACCTGTGACTGTGAGCAGCACTGTTTTCTTCCTCCAGATGTCCCCACTGATGACCACACAGCTGTATTCTCCACTGTCTCTCTCTGTGGGCTGTTTCAGGGTCAGACTGAGGTCTCCAGTTTTCAGCAGGTCTTCATTCACTCTTGTTCGGTCTCTGTAAACCTGGTGCTGTTTGTCAGGCTGGTCAGATCCACTCTGACACATGTGCACCATCATGTATTCTGGTTTATATCGTTCCCACTTCACTGTGGCCTTTTCAGGAAGCTCAGCTGTGGTTTGGAAAGGCAGCTTTGCAGACTCCACCCCCTCCTCTACATCTACATGACAGTCTGAGGGGATGAGAAATATACAGCATGACCTCTTGTGACCTTGTGCTGCTTAGTTTCGACAGTTTAACAGATGCAGAAAAAGCTAAAGAAAAATGTTGCAGTCATTGCAGGAGCTCTTGTAAAATTGACCTCATGTGGGTCTCTCCTGCCTTTGATACCACCCTGTTTTGTTCAGCTGACTTTAATCAGCAATTAGAGCTACTTAAGACTAAAGAAAGGTGAGCTCTAGTGCCAAAGAGGATCTGAGGATTCAGGAATGACGGACGATTAACAGCCAGGAGGTGGCAGTAATGCAACAGTTTTGGATGCAAGCTGCCGTTAAACTGAAGAAGAAGAAGAAGAAGCTCTAGTGCCAGGCATCCTTGTTGGTTTTGTAGCTGGTGTGAGTGTGCAGTGGCACTTTTAGGGAAACAAAACAAGTGTGGCCTTTCTGTGATCTCAGAAAATGGAAGCTTGGAATTGGCAATATTTCATTTTTGAATATTTCACTTGTAGGTGTCTAGAATAATGTTACCTTGGAAAATACAACTTCCCAGTTAAGTTAGGTGAGTGTCTGTCTGAGTTTAAGTTCTTACTTCAAGCACTGTTTGCATAGATAAGATAAGATAAACCTTTATCAGTCCCAGTATGGTCACGGCACAAAGCGGACAATACAAAGTTAAGGGCAGCAAAAATTACGAAAAACAGTAGAATAGAATAAAATAAAATAAAATTCTGTACAAAAGAGAATAAAATTTTTTAGCCTTATTTTCAGAGTAATCTGGGGTGGGGATAAGTTCTCTGTTGGGGACAGGAAATTGAGGGCTCTTGTCACTGAAGAACTTTTTGCCAAATGTGAAGGTTGGCAGGCAACTGTGAAGGGGGCTCAAGTCACTTTGCTCTTCTTTAAATAATCATTTATTTTCCTCCCACACAGCATATACAGTGCAATACAAATACACGTATTCTTCTTTTTTATTACTAAGTTATTATACTCTGTTGTGTTGCGTTGTGATGTGTCGTATCGTGTTGTGTTGTGCGACTGTGCAATGACAATAAAGAGTTATCTTCTTATCTTCATATTAATTTAGGGCCACTTTAAAATTCCATAATCAGTCAGTTCACTTTGGCTCCTTCACTGGGAACCAGTTTTGCCTTCAGTTAGCTTTTTATTTCTACTCATCACAACTACTTAGAAAGCAAAATTCAAACCTCAGACCTGTAACTACACCACTGACCTCTGACTTTCAGCTCCACTTCTTTCTTCATCAGGATGTTTCCCTCCCTGCTGTAGACGGTGCAGGTGTAGGTGGAGTTGTCTCTCTCTGTGGGGTATTTCAGGGTCAGACTGAGGTCTCCAGGTTTCAGCAGGTCTTTTTTCATCTTCGTTCGGTCTCTGTAATCCTGCTCCTGTTCTTCAGGCCGGTCAGAGCCGTTCTCATACACGTGGACCTTTCCATATTTGTCCTTCCACACCACCTTAATGTCTTTAGACACTTGAACTAAGGTTTTGCAGGGCAGCTGGACAGACTCCCTCCCTGAATCCACCTCCACCTTGTGAACTGAGAGAAACAAAGCACAACACGATGACATGAGCAGCAGCATTGAGAATGTTTTATTTGACTGGATAACTTTTCCAGTAAAATCCATTCTGACTGGACACATTTGATGACGATGAGCAGAAGCAGGCAGAGAGAAGAAAACGCTCTTATTTTTATTTGTGTGTAATTGACACCTGATGGGATGGGACTACACTGTTAAAGCTAATAATATAAAAATGACAACAGTCACCTGTTCAAACTGGTTACATCTGTTAGATTCTTTGACATTTAACTAATCAGATCATTTTAAATAGATGCTGACCTTTGACCTGTATCTACAGAACTGACCTCTGACAATGAGCAGCACTTCCTTCTTCATCAGGATGTTTCCCTGCTGATTGTAGAGGGTACAAGTGTAGGTGTTTGTGTCTCCATCTGTGGGGTGTTTCAGGGTCAGACTGAGGTCTCCAGTTCTCAGCAGGTCTTCATTCATCTTCGTTCGGTCTCTGTAATCCTGGTCCTGTTCTTCAGGCTGGTCAGAGCCGTTCTCATACACGTGGACCTTCCTGTTTTTCATGTCCTTCCACTCCACTTTAGCGTCTTTAGGCAGGAAAACTGTGGTTTTGCAGATCAGCTGGACAGACTCCACCCCTGAATCCACCTCCACCTTATCACCTGAGATGACAACAAAGTATCTTTTACTAGAGCAATGTTATTCTCTTTATTATGTATTTTGTATTCCTTTTCTTTGTACAGTTGTACAAAAAGAGAGAGAGAATTTATTTCCATCGTTGAATCACAACAAGCAGCCTGTTTCTTTGACGATAAGGTGCTGGGAACAATAGCTAAAATTATGTTGTCTCTAAACAAACTTTAGTGAGGACAGCATGAGCACTAAAATGATTTTTGTTGACTGGATAAGTTAAATTATTTCCAGTAAAATCAGTTCTGACTGGTTCCAGTCTCAGAAATGACCAACTATAGATGGGACATGAAAAAGTCTGTGTATTGAAGGAACGGAGGAGCTTTGAGCCAACTGATACTTGGCACACTATTACAATCTGACCTTTGACCTGTATCTACAGAACTGACCTCTGACAGTGAGCAGCACTTCCTTCTTCATCAGAATCTTTTGCCTCCGGCTGTAGACGGTGCAGGTGTAGGTGTCACTCTTTTTGGGGGTTTTCAGGGTCAGACTGAGGTCTCTAGCTTTCAGCCATTTCCTCTTCATCTCCGTTCGGCCTCTGTAAACCTGGTGCTGTTCTTCATTCTGGTCAGAGCCGTTCTTATACACGTGGACCTTCCTGTCTTTCATGTCCTTCCACTCCACTTTAGCGTCTTTAGACAGGCAAACTGTGGTTTTGCAGGGCAGCTGGACAGACTCCACCTCTGAATCCACCTCCACCTTGTAACCTTTGAGGACAACAAAGGACAACATGATGACGTCAGCAGCAGCTGTGAACAAGTTTGTGTGAGCCACAGTCAAGGAGCCACCAGAGGACACCTGCTAACCATCGGCATTATGGGTAGTGTAGTAGGAGACACTCACCTGACATGAAATACTGTCGGAAATAATATATGAGACCTCCAGAAACCACAAGAAGAACCAGGAGAAACAGGAGCACAAGAACAGCTTTCGCCCAGGATGGAAATGGTTCTGTACAGAAACATAAAAATATGACCTCTGACCTGTATCTACATCTCTGACCTTTGACCTGTGGCATCATCACTGACCTTTGACCTTCAGCACTACTTTCTGTCTCAGGATGTCTTTGTCCCTGTAGATGGTGCAGATGTATCCTCCACCGTCTCTCTCTGTGGGGTATTTCAGGGTCAGACTGAGGTCTCCAGTTCTCAGCAGGTCTTCACTCATCTTTGTGCAACCACAGTAAAGGTCGTCCTGTTTCTTAAGGTTCTCACTTCTGTTTGGATACACATGGACCGTCATGAGTTCTCGATCAGAGCGAGTCCACTCCACTGAGGTGTCCTCAGGCAGGTCAGGTGTTGTTTTGCAGGGCAGGATGACGGAGTCTGAGCCTTCCTCCACTTTAACCACCACTTGCTGGTCTGTGAGGACAATAAACCACAACATCAGCTGCAGAAGCAGACAATAGGAGTCGTAGCACTGATCTAATCTGGGTATGTTTTGCCAATTGTGATTGTATACAAGAACCATACTTTTCAACAATAAAAGTTAAATAATAACTGCTTCCTGTTTCAAAGCTACATTTACTTTATTGCTCTTTTTCAGTGAATGTTAAAGATTTGAAGCACTGATGTCAAAGAGCCTGAAATTACAACAACCTTGACCTGAGGTCACTCTGCAACAATGCTATCTAAGCACTTGGTGACAGTGAGAAGGAAAAGTTCCTTTTAACAGGAAAAAAGCTTAAATATTTATATTTTATGTGACCACCCATAAAACTTAAATTCTGTTTCTTTGCTTTACTTTTTCCTACTGAAAACGTCATCAGTGCAGGCTCTGCACACGAACAAACAAATACAAATCATCTTTTTATGGGAATTTGAATCCAATATTCCTGAGAGTTTCCTTCTCTTTTTGGTGAACAGAGCCTCAAATAAAAACCACATTTTCTGAACTCAATGATCCGAACTCAAAATGGACCAATCTTTAGAACTAACGTTTGTCCAGAAAAGGTAAAAAATTATAATTCACAACAGTAAAGAGATATCATTAATGTGTCAAGCCCCAGCATGTTACAGTGCTTTAACTCGACATGACCGTGACTGTTAGACTGTTACGACTATCAGGACACTTTGGATGAACATTGATTTGTTTGATTTCTGCTGTTTCAGCTTCTTACAGGCAGAGTTACACTGTACTGCTGACCTTTGACCTGCAGCTGTACATCTCCCACTCTAACTTTATTTCTTTCATTGCTGAGTGTGCAGGTGTATTTTCCGCTGTCAGTCAGCTGGAGGTTTTTCAGAGTGAGGCTGAAGTCTCCAGAGTCCAGAGCATCAGGCCTCATCGATGTGCGCCCGCTGTAACGCTGGTTTTGTCCTCTGAGATCATCGGTTTCTTCTTGTCTCACGTGGACAGATTGGGGATTGAGATCGTTGCGAGTCCATGTTACTGTGGGGTCCACAGGTGGTAAACCTGAGTACTGACAGGGCAGCAGGACAGATCTTTCCCCCTCATTCACCTCCACCAACACAGCCAGGGCATGCTGGGAAACTGAGGACATATAAACAGACAAACAAATTATCTGTGACCTGTGGATTACAGCAAGAAATCACAGCTTAATCTGAACATGTTTAATGTAGATGTATTCTGCTGTTAGTGTAGTTACACATGCTCATAGTTATAAGGGAAATGTTAATGAATGTTGTGATGCATTCACGGGAAAATTTCTGCTCAGTTCAAAGAGGACGGGAAGCACAAACCTGCACGATCTCTCCTGCTGCACTTCAACACATTAAAGAGAGAGAGATGAAAGAAAAGCTGATGATGAGAGCAGAGAGAGGAAGGTGTACTTACCGTGCAGGAGGATCACAAACACCACAAACATCTTCATGTTCCTGTCAAACTCAGAGACTCTTTAAAAGCCCTTCAGGACATCAGCTCACAGCAGCTTCACTTTCCTCTGCTGATCATCTACTGACACTCTCACACTGCTTCACTGTCACAGCTCAGAGTTCAGCTTCACACTTTGTTAAAGCACATCTGTGGAATGAAGTCCGGCCGGCCACAGATCACTTCTGAGGAAAGAGGAGGACGTCGGCTTTCCTCCTAGTTTCACGCCCGAGCGCTCCGGTTGGAGGCGGCTGCTGTGGCCTCACCCTGACACGCACAAAGCTCCGCCTCCAGTCCTGACCATGAAACATCCACTGTGGCTACAATGATGCAGATGTGACCCTCAGCAGCTGGATTTCCTCTCCATAGATGTGTTTCCATGCAGATCATGGACATAAAGCAGCTCCAGGATGAAGAGTGTGAAAGAACTTCTTCCACTACAGTATTCATTACAGCACTGTGGCACTCCACAAACCTCACACTGTCTCAATCCCTGTTTCCAGTTTACTGAGAGAAGGCCTGAAGCTCAGCCAATCACAGGACAGGAAGTGATCAGCTGACACAGTGATTTGAAGCTGTCAGGGTGAGGCTGCTTCATGCAGGTGTGAAACTATGAGGAAGCTGAACGCCTCCTCTTTCCTCAGAAGTGATCTGTGGCAGTCTGCCATCATGTTTGGCTGCTCACACTGAATGTGACTCACTGTTGGGGTGTAGCTCAGGTGGTGGAGCAGGTCCTCTGCTATTCGGAAGGCTGGTGGTTCACTCCCTGCAGTGTGCATCCCAAATATCTTTCAGCAAGACACTAACTCCAAGTTGCTCCGTGATGCATCACAGTGTGGATGTTAGAGGGTGAGGGAAAAGTGCTTGGATTAATGAGTGAAGTTGATTAAAGTGCTTTGGGTATAATCACTGATTAGAACACGAACATGAACACAGAGCTGCAGAGAGACAGGATGAGGTGAAAGCTGCGACCCTGGTGTGGTCAGAGGGGTCACGGGTGTTTACATGTCATCCAAGGAAATATTTAATATTTCAATAATATAAATTACACAAGTTTGCAAAATCCACACAGACAAAAGAGACGGTTTCAATAATATAAATACTTTATCTAAAAGATATGCAGTGCAATAAAACAAACACAACACACAAAAAGACTGCAGCACCATGTTGGCCACAAATCAGCATTAAATCAGAGAAAGTAAAGAGGCTGGATGGAGCAGTAACTCAGCAGGAACACAAAACACTTCAGCTTCACACTCGGAGCTGCACAGTAAAGGAAACCTTTCAGAGTGATGTGGAGTAAAGGAAACATGGAGGGAGGAAAGCACCAGCAGGGAGGCCACACCGCTGCTGGCTCGTCCTTCAGTAACCAAACACAGAAACGAAAAAGTGACACATCACATAAAAACATGTAGTCCAAAGCTAAAAGGACAAACATGTTCACCACAAATACTAAACACAGTGTTAAACAGTCACAGTGAGGCTGAGCTGTGTCAGTTTCACCTCTGACACAACAATCACTCATTAAAGGAAACTGCAGAGCTGCACTTCCTGTGGCAGCTCGAATCACCACGATGACTCCGAGCAAACGTCCCTCACACAGAAGCTCAGTTCTGCTTCCTGTGTGATCAGATTATGTTCAGGATGAACTCTGTTCAGGAGGAAACAGTTATCACTGATGATTTTAAAATAACTTCCAGAAATCCAGTTAGAAGCCAGAGAAGACGAACGTTCGAGCATCATAATTTTTAATGGGACAGTTTACAAAAATTAAACTCTGAACTCTGAGTGTGACCATCATTATCATCTGATAACATCTCTGACTGCAGTATGTGGATTTCACAAAGATTTAGAGCTGAAAAAAGTAACAAGACAAGAAGTTTAACAGAGACGGTTGATAACCAACTGTTTCCTCCAGGTTTTCTCAAGGCAGCAGAGACAAAGAAGTCTTTCCTGATATGTTCATGTTCTGCAAACACAACATGACTCAAATGTCTTCAGCTGCACCACAGATGAGTCCGTGCCGGTATCTACAGTGGCATTCACAAACGTGTTTACAGGCTGACTTTAATGTGTTTCTGCACATGCTTCTGGTCATGTGATCATGTGGTTTGTAGGACGCTCCTCTTCCTCAGAGGATCCACCTGTGCTTCCTCTCCTCTCTCCTCCACCTGTTACAGTGAGGGAACGTCCTCCATGATGGAGGAGCTGCTGGAAAGTGCTGAGAGTTTCCTCCAGAGTGAGACCTCTGTCACAGTTCAGAGGATCTACGGCAGCAGAGACCTTCATGGACACTAAAAGTCTCAAACACACAACAACAACATCACACTGACTCCACTCTGACATCACTGATCAATAATCAAAGAACACACAGATCAAACTGATTGATCAGCCATCAGAGGAGTCGGATCAATGGAGCTGCTTCTGTTCCTGATGTCCCCTGTTTGATCCTGGACCTGAACTCTCCCTGCAGAGGAGACACAACACAGTCAGAGAGGGAAAAATAAATAAACAAAAAACAAACAAACCAACAAACCTTTGATTTTCAGCAGCACAGTTTTGCCTCTGTGGATGTTTCCCTTCCTTCTAACCACACAGTTGTACCTCCCACTGTCTCTCTCTGTGGGGTGTTTCAGGGTCAGACTGAGGTCTCCAGTTTTCAGCAGGTCTTCATTCATCTTCGTTCGGTCTCTGTAAACCTGGTTCTGTTCTTCAGGCTGGTCAGAGCCGTTTCGATATATGTGGACCTTCCTGTAAAACCCGTTCTTCCACTCCACCTCAGCATCTTCAGGCAGGTTTTGTGTGGTTTTAAAGGGCAGCTGGACAGACTCCGCCCCCTCCTCCGCCTCCACCTGACAGACTGAGAGGACAACAAACACAACATGAGCTGTACAGAGAGCAGCAGGTGTCACAGTTGTAGAGAAAGCTAAAGGAAAGAAGCAGATCTGATCAGAAGGTAACAGGAGATCTTTGAGGAGTCATCACTGAGAAGACTTGTTGCTTATTTCATTTTTCATAGAACATCACATTAAGATCAAGAAACATTGATTAGATTTATTTGTCCTTTGTTTTGAGAAGCAGTTACAGTGTCTCAGTTCTCCTGTTGCATTTTCAATTTGGTCACTTCTTTATAAAAATGTTTTTTAAACTAATCTTGTGATAACATGTGGAGATAAAGTGTGAATTTCCCTCCACATATTTGCACCTGATCCTTTCATGTATGTGTATTTTGCTGCAGTAACATCTGGCTGTCACAGCTGGACTGGCTCTTTAACTGGTGTGAGAGCTCTACAAACAGCTTCATGTTGTCAGCTGTACGGACAGGATGATGACTGATGACTCTTTGTCTATAACAGAGATGTTACCCACTGTCTGTGATGGACTTCCTTTTACCATGTGACCTTTAACTTCTCATCAGTACTGATCACAACTATTTAACTGACAGGAAACAGATAAAAAGATTACAACATCTGACCTTTGACCTGTATCTACAGCACTGACCTCTAAATTTCAGCTCCACTTGCTTCTTCAGCAGGATGTTTCCCTCCCTGCTGTAGACGGTGCAGGTGTAGGTGTTTGTGTCACAGCCTGTGGGGTGTTTCAGGGTCAGACTGAGGTCTCCAGTTTTCAGCAGGTCTTCATTCATCTTCGTTCGGCCTCTGTAATCCTGGTTCTGTTCTTCAGGCTGGTCAGAGCCGTTCTCATACACGTGGACCTTATCGGTATCACTGTCCATCCACTCCGCCTTAGCATCTTCAGGCAGGTGAAGTGTGGTTTTGCAAAGTAACTGGACAGACTCCACCCCTGATTCCACCTCCACCTGACAGACTAAGAGGACAATAAACACAACATGAGCTGCACAGACAGTAACAGATGATGATGGAGACAGAATTGTCATTTTCTGTTTGTTTAATCCTGAGCAGATCTGGCTGCTTCTTAAAGTCAACTGGTCAGAATCAAAGCTTTCTTTGAAGGGGAGTCAAGGTGTCCATTGCAGGAAATGTTAAATGTAATGTTTTCTTGAACCAAGGATGGTGGTTCAGGGAAACTAAGAGAGACGGGTCCTGGGTGAGGGGCCAGACTAAGAGCAGTTTATAAGTTATTGTTAAAAACGGGTTCAAATATTGAGGGTGAGCACAAAAACAATAATGGTCCAGAAGAGCTTCAGTCAAACAATGATTTTAATGAACACACGCGTGGGGAGATGAACACTGCACCATCAGCATCAATCTCACCTCAAAACTGCACAATAAACTGTTTTATAACATCAGGGCATTTTAATGACGCCCCGTCATGCGTCAAGAAGATACAATACATAGATGAGTTTCAAAAACACACACATTCTGTTGACGACTTTTGACACATTTAAAAGGACATCTTCTCCGTCTGCAGGCCAGGCGCTTCCCGGTAATCTTCTAACTCTGTTTATCTCCTGGAGCAAACTGTCCCTTAGGCAGACACAATTTCGCAATCACCAGCTTTTGCAACTATTATTTGAAGTCTTACCTAATCATGAGTCTAACTACTGTTTGTGTGTGTGTCTCGACCTCAAAATGCACTCGGCCTCAACCCGCCCGTTGACGCTTCTGGCCTTTTACCAGACAGAAGCTCTCTGTGATAGGTGTAATAATCTTAACTAAGAACATGTGTAATCTATTGAATAAATGCTTTGATGAAATGATAATTAATGTAATGGTAATGATGATGGTTATGAATAGTAGCAGTAAATTATTTCCCTGATCTCTACTATATGCATATTGATGATAGCAGAAGTCCAGAAACCTGGACTGAATGAGGCACACCACTGCTCCTCTGAGAACACTTAACCTGCTCAGGCCTTGACCCACGGGGCTTGTCCAGCCATTCACCGAGCTGTCATTGTTCGACTGATACTGACAGCCTTCAATTCCCTGGCATGTCACGAACTGGCACAATGTGCTGAGTCCACACAAAAAGTTTACATAAACAAAAAATATATATTTATTAAAGATATCTAGAGGGTGTAGCCTGCATTTCAGGCTATGGTAACTGGGATAGACTCATCAGTGTGGGGGCATCATTCTGAGCTGCAGCATGCCCCCTTCTCCACTACTACTGCTTGGTAAAGTTAGATAAGTTGGCAGATTTCTCAGGTAAATACAGAAACTCATTCCAAGCAGCTGTTCCTACATGACTGGTGTCGGAACTTTAAACCACAGTTGCGAAAACGAAAAATAAAA